CAGGTGTGTGACACTCGGTGACACAGAGCAACCGGTCTGTGACAGAAGGCTCAGGTGCTCTGATCACGGAATTCTGCGATCTGACCACAAAAACTACCCTTTTCTGTTAGGCGTTGTGCTTATATATGATCTGAGGTACGAAATCGTGTAAGAAGTAGCCTGTGGAAAGTTTCACATTCAGTTTGCCACCTATATATTGATACAAGTGTCTCAAACTGCCGTGACTCATGCCCAAGGGAGACTATGCGGGTAACCTTACAGGTCTCAATGGACTGATAGTTATGATGATGGAGTGATGTGAAAAAAAGCAGGAATGTGTCATCTTTATGCGGGGTACGAATGTTGTAAAAAGGATGCAAGAAGTTAGGATCTACATTCTTCCGTTTGAGTTTAACAACAAGTTTATAATATCTTTATAATTTTAAAGTTAAAACTACATGTTCAAACGAAATTGTATACGTGACAGAGATAACGAAACAATAACGGACACGAAACATTTTAAATAATTTGTAAGAAAATGAAAAACAGAAGACTAAGATTTCCTTTATTTTCCAAAGATATATAAATCGACTTGCTCACTACTAAGATTACTTAAAAAGCTTTGCCATGTCTCACATATCATTTGCTATAATATAGTTTCTTTATCTTTGAAAATAACTGCCATAAGTTACTAGTTAAAAGGATTTATTAATCCTTTTTCAATATGTAATGTAGATAGCCTTTAGGAATTACTAGTTAAAAGGATTTATTAATCCTTTTTCAATATGTAATGTAGATAGCCTTTAGGAATTACTATAAACGCCTACTTTTCACCACAGGTACGTTTGATGTATACAAATTGGCCAACCCAAGAAACCTGTTAAATATTTTTCTTGATCTGAATTACTACTGCAGTCGAGAAGCTATCATAATTGTAATCGGATCTCCCTGCAAACGGGTCCAATATTGTGCGTATTCTTTCACATTCTTTTATCACTTGTGCAGTTGACTTTAAAACCAGATTGCACACTAACAACAGGTGATATTACAGCAGGTTTACCAGGTTGAAAGTAAACCACACCTTAGTCACACTACACGAGACAAGTAACCGAATAAATATTCTCCTAACGTGGTTTGATTGAAACGGGATTGGAGCAAGGTTTTCATATTCAAGATACTGTATTTGGCTTAGACTTTTTGCATATTGTGTAATGGTATGCGGGGTTAAAAATCAGCTATTTTTTTCTCCTTTTGTATTTTTTGTCACGTGTTTTACCCTTTAGGGAAGTGTAAAGCTTACCGCGCCATTTGCTCTCCTGAAAGAGAGGGGGAGGTTACATTTCATGTCAGTATTAAACGACGATTATCGTTAATTCTTGTTTATTTAGTATTCGTGTATCATAAACGTGATTTTAACACAGAATTCAAAAGTGGCTCACGTGAACTTCATGGCGTAGTATCAAAGCGAACCGGGTTGAAGATTTCAAGCCATAAGTGCACTTTTGATTTCTGAAAACTCAATTTGCAGCCATTGAAAAACATCTGTTTAAAAATCAACATAGATACTGCTCACTTCTTTAGAAACACTTTGACCAATTGCAGATGATTGTACCCTCTACCAGGGCAACAGATTGATTTTTTCACAAGATATTCACAGATATGCCTTTAGATAAATAGACGGTCATTTGGTTTCCTGTCTTTTGGCTTTTGGAAATTTTACTTATAATATCTGCCACCCTGGTAGAGTGTACGATGATAACACGTTTCGTGGAAAACTCTAATTGGCACATTATTTTCAATAGCCCAAAAGAAGTGTGAGATTACTGCAGGTGGGCGGAGAAGCCAAGTGAAAGTTTTGGTGTCACAGAACGGCAATTGCAGTAGATGTGACAGGATTTCTCAACTGCAATACTTGGTAGTCTACTCACTAGGTCATGTCGTCGACTCGATGTCGTGTGTGTCACACAGTGTTATCACCAAAACTAGGTCGCAAATGTTGATTCTCGAATAATATTCCACTTGCGAGGTCAAAAGTGACTAGAATTTCTCTCTAACCCGAGACTGCGGTAGTGGGTACAGATATTCTTACTGTATACTTAGATGAAGTGGGTCTCTAACCAGCCGTCTAATTTTCAAGCGAGTGTCTTGTTCACTGCAAATATTTGCAAGACTACACACCCTGTATTTTGATACGTGAGCTGCATTATTAATATCAGAGAAGGGACTTCCGGGATTNATGTATTCATATCTTTAATATTGCTACTCTTGCATTCACAAAACAATACCTGATAAAAAAATTAATAAATCAGTTTACGATTTATTCATTGTTCAATTCATATTTCTAATTTATTTCTTAATATACATTTGCATTTAATCTATAAATCTAAATGCTTCTTATAATCCACATACCAGGGTACATGTGCGCGTACATGCATATATAAAGTAATGTACCGCACTCAATTGTCTTTGATATTTTACTCTGCTGTTATTTCTATATTGGCCGATATACCGTAGGAGTGTACACAGATCCACCGCCTTACGACAGTATCTGCATCATCAGCTCATCCGTCCACAACTCCAGAACCAGACTTCTATACAGCGAGGAACACAACAGCGACCAGCCTCCACCGCCATACTCTAGAGACATAGAGCGTCTCTGCTCTTTCACTGCGGTAAGGCCATCGTCTCTTAAAGTAGACGCCGTTGACAGTTTGCCGCGTCCAACTGGAGTACCGCCGCCGTCCTATTGTGACAGGATCTCAGCGCCAGGAGAGAACTTCGGGCAAGGAGATTTTCCGTCTATTCAGACCACCCCTGGGACTCTGAGGAGCGACCCAGGGGACTTTACTAGCAAATCGTTACCCTAAACTGATTCACAAAGAGGGTCAATATACTGAAGCGTTTTTATTTACGTTTACTTATAGAATTGACCTAGTTATGATAAAGAGTGAATCACCTCTTTTGATTATGTGGATTTAAATGTAAGCAGATGCCCTATGTTACAGGGTCCAGTCCCCATTTATCTGTACAGGTGCGAGTTAGGGACCGTTCCCATAACCCTATCGTACTAGCTGGATCGATCTTATTCCTCGGGGATTCTCGATTAATTGCATTCTAAGTGACTTTAATGTCTGGCACACCCCCTCGTAACTTAGGCCGCATTCAGAACAGTGGACCAACTAGTCCGCGGGTCAAACATGGCAACCCACTAAAAGCTTGTCGTCTAATGCATTAATAGTCACTGATTTGATTCCCCGTGGGGAAGTATTCAAGTGGGTCGGCCATATTTGACCCTCGGACTAGTAAGTCCTAAATGCGGCCTTAAAGTACTTGGGTAAAGAACGGGAAACTTTACAACCTATGATGTTGTTTATGTTATTTTGCCAGTGGGCATGCCAAACAATTAAGCTGATTACATTGACTTCGCCTTTGCGAGAATCCCCGCTAAGATAGATTGAACCTGCTAGCACGATAAGGTTATTGGTACGTAGTGTAAGCCCCCTGGCTCACGATAACCCCCATGAAAACACATATTCTTGGGTTAAAGGGAGAGAGGGCTTTCTGTTACACGGGCCTTCAGTTTTTATATTTTTTAACGGAGTTTAAAAAATAGCCAAAACAGTTACCGTGAACTACGTTTTTCAAGAGCTATACATTGCGGGAAGTTTGTAGCATGTGATAGGGGAGACCGGGGCTAGTTGGACCCCGGGGTAAGTTGGCCCCCAGTCAATTTATGGAAAAGTAACTACGAAGTAAAAAATTGGCCACATACTCATGCAAAGTGACCGTAGCCTACAATGCTAAGGAAGTGTCAGACGTTAAAAAGTTTTACTTAAGCGGTGAGTCGAAATAAACGATTTTTGCACCTAAAAGTAATTTTGTTTAAGAGATTTCAAAATCTATTTTCATAGGCTTTTGATCGAATATAAGATATGTATAGGGCATCAAACTGAAGCTCATTGTTTCAAGTTTCACAGAGATGTATCATCGTTGCTCATTCTAGCACCATAAATCGCTACCATCCTTTAAAATAAATAATGTGCACCCGGGGCTAGTTGGTCCCCTTGACTCAGGGCAAGTTGGACCCTCATATTACCCACAAACCTTTGCGCGCAACGCTGTTTGAAATAAACAAGCTGGTGAAATTGACAAAGCTTGCCGGTGTCTATTACCGTCTGATTGATTTTTTTAAATTTTCTCTCTGGTGTCTTTTTGAAAATTTATATCAGAAATATTCTGTTGATTGTAAGTATTAAAAAACAAATCCATTGGACTTTCCGTAGAAAAACATTTATTTTGCCTTAATTCATTGTAAGGGGATTCCCTTTGTATTTATAGTGTTATATGTGGCCCCAAGGGGATTTTCTACCCCTCCCTAGCTAGAGACCATTGTTGAAACAAACTCAATGGTTTAAAACTGAATTTGTTACTTTTTTTAAAAAGAAAATTTATTATTCGTTTTCATTCATTAAAAACCTTTTTTATACCATTATTTATTTATTCTTAATTAAAACAAAGCACATTTTATTGATAGATATTTTGGTTCTTGCAACACATACCCCCCCTCCCCCCCAACAACGTGACGTACGGAAACCTCAATAAATCTGCCTCATTTGAACTGTTTATTCATCAAAGACTCTCAAAAATCAATTAAATAAATTAAAAATTTATAAAAATGTATTTCAAGGCGTTTACATGGGATATTTNCACAGATATGCCTTTAGATAAATAGACGGTCATTTGGTTTCCTGTCTTTTGGCTTTTGGAAATTTTACTTATAATATCTGCCACCCTGGTAGAGTGTACGATGATAACACGTTTCGTGGAAAACTCTAATTGGCACATTATTTTCAATAGCCCAAAAGAAGTGTGAGATTACTGCAGGTGGGCGGAGAAGCCAAGTAAAAGTTTTGGTGTTCACAGAACGGCAATTGCAGTAGATGTGACAGGATTTCTCAACTGCAATACTTGGTAGTCTACTCACTAGGTCATGTCGTCGACTCGATGTCGTGTGTGTCACACAGTGTTATCACCAAAACTAGGTCGCAAATGTTGATTCTCGAATAATATTCCACTTGCGAGGTCAAAAGTGACTAGAATTTCTCTCTAACCCGAGACTGCGGTAGTGGGTACAGATATTCTTACTGTATACTTAGATGAAGTGGGTCTCTAACCAGCCGTCTAATTTTCAAGCGAGTGTATTGTTCACTGCAAATATTTGCAAGACTACATGTACACACCCTGTATTTTGATACGTGAGCTGCATTATTAATATCAGAGAAGGGACTTCCGGGATATTTGTACGGTACGTTACATGCAGTATCTCTCTCTCTCTCTCTCTCTCTCTCTCTCTCTCTCTCTCACACACACACACACACACACATGCACGCACACACGCTCACTCTACGCTGGGGTCCTTCCCTCAGCCGCTTCCCTCCTTCCTTCCCTCTCTCCTTTCTACCTTCCATCCTTACTCTCTTTTTAAATAGCGTTATATCAGGGGAGTGTTGCGTCATGGGATGAAGAGGTCAAATTAGTAAGTAACAGGGTGTATTTAAGTTAAGTACTTGAGAGCGTGATTGTCATTAATTCCGGGAAATGGTGAGGGTGCTTTGTTCATATCCCACAGCTTGACCGAATTAATTTTTGCACAAATATTTTTTTGTTCCAATTTTCATGATTAAGTCATGTTTGGACATTTTCTAACTCAAGTAAGATCTAGAGTGCCTCCAAAAACTTAATTGTTTTGTTTTGGTCTAAGTAGGGGAGACCGGGGCTAGTTGGACCCCGGGGTAAGTTGCCCCCCAGTCAATTTATGAAAAAGTAACTACGAGGTAAAAAAAAAATTGGCCACATACTCTTGCTAAGTGACCGTAGCCTACAATGCTAAGGAAGTGTCAGACGTTAAAAAGTTTTACTTAAGCGGTGAGTCGAAATAAACGATTTTTGCACCTAAAAGTAATTTTGTTCAAGAGATTTCAAAATCTATTTTCATAGGCTTTTGATCGAATATAAGATATGTATAGGGCATCAAACTGAAGTTCATTGCTTCAAGTTTCACAATGATGTATCATCGTTGCTCATTCTAGCACCATAAATCGCTACCATCCTTTAAAATAAATAATGTGCACCCGGGGCTAGTTGGCCCCCTTGACTCGGGGCAAGTTGGACCCTCATATTACCCACAAACCTTTGCCCGCAACGCTGTTTGAAATAAACAAGTTGGTGAAATTGACAAAGCTTGCCGGTGTCTATTACTGTCTGATTGATTTTTTAAAATTTTCTCTCTGGTGTCTTTTTGAAAATTTATATCAGAAATATTCTGTTGATTTTAAGTATTAAAAAGCAAATCCATTGGACTTTCCGTAGAAAAACATTTATTTTGCCTTAATTCATTGTAAGGGGATTCCCTTTGTATTTATAGTGTTATATGTGGCCCCAAGGGGATTTTCTACCCCTCCCTAGCTAGAGACCATTGTTGAAACAAACTCAATGGTTTAAAACTGAATTTGTTACTTTCTTTTAAAAAGAAAATTTATTATTCGTTTTCATTCATTAAAAACCTTCTTTATACCATTATTTATTTATTCTTAATTAAAACAAAACACATTTTATTGATATATATTTTGGTTCTTGCAACACATACCCCCCC